AGTTGACTCGGTGATCAATATCTCACTTTAGCGGGTGAGTGAGATTTGTGTAAGGAATAAATCACCACCGGTTAGAATCGATTCAATCGCCATCGCTCCCGGATAGTGAGCACTTGACTTGAGTGACTTCATCGTAGTAAATGTTTATGGAACACTTGGACAAGCTTATAGTGAATATGACAAGATGGAAGTTGTTTAATGATCGCTGGTTATCATTAATCGCTTAATCACATGTTTACTCTAGTATAGGTAAAAATCTAGTCGACAAAAGTTAATAATAATTAACTTGACAATACCGCTTTTAGAAAGGTTCTTGAAATGCTAAAAAGCTTCTTTTGCAAATGAGTCACCTACCCTACTATAATGCCCGCATAATCCTTGGTGTCATTTATTTTCGGTTATGTTCGGGGAAGTCCGGCCGAGTACCTTCTCGTACTCGTGGTTTTATTCCCACTTGTTGCGAGATGGGCGATGTACTATGGCTATTGTATCAACCGCCTCTATCCCCGCGATGGTGATGCTTAGGACCATGGGCATGGTCATTCCTTACGCCTCATCTAATGCTTTTGTTGGAGATGATCATCACCGGCACTATATTTGAACTCCGTGTGAGTGTGTGTGGTTTTAAACAAATGACTTCCGCTACTTTTATTCGAACTTGTTTTGTAATAACTTTCATTTAAACTCTGATGTATCTGTTATGGAAACTTTTATGTAATATGTGATTGGTGACCGCTAAACTTATTACGATCATGGCTGGGACACGAGTTGGTTTGAAATCCTTCGTGATTTCACGGACTACCGGGTTATACGGGCTTAAGTTTGCTCAATCGTCTGCTCTGGTGGATGATTTTCTTACTTAATTTCGTATAATTGGTCGGTTCTGTTACATTGACAATCCTAGAGTACCCTCATCGTGTGTCTCCGTAATGGGTCTTTTTGAAAGGCATTCATGGATTTTTTTGGTCAAAGAACAAGCGTCAAATCAGCCTCATCAACCTACTAGTTGACCTCGCCAACTAGACCTACCTTCATTGTGTATCTATGCCTCAAGCAATATAGCCCCTACCTATGTGTTGAACAGATTTAGTGTCAACATACATTTTGGCAATCTGTTGGGGGAAGAAAGCAAAGCATATCTACTAAGATGACCGATGCTCATATAGATCCAAACAACTCTAAGAACATCATCAAGCCTTTGGTCGACCAATTTTTCGAGGAGATTCGCAGATGCTAGAGGAGAGAGGCGAAGGCCCGAAGTCAGCCGATTTGGAGGTTGCCCTACTTTGAGTTGGAGGGAGCTGCCAAGAAGATCAAAGGCGTTAATTTTGATCCTCTTTCTACTATATCCTCATTTGAGGTAAAAACTAATAAACCTCTTCCAAGCTCTGGTATGACTCATGATGAATGCACCGAGATGCTTGTTAAACATACTAAAATTTGTCTCGACCCAAGTGCAAAAGAATCTTAGCAAGTTTATGGATAGCCATAATAAAATGGAGGAAAAGAGATATGAAATTTCTATTTTCCCTTGAGATGCATATGTTAATGGATCATCCTCGGTTGCTAGTCAACCCTAATATAGGATGTTGTTCGGTTTTTTAAAGGGACAAATGAGTTATACATCAGCCATTGAAATCGATATGACCAATTTTGAGAGATTTGGAACTATTTTACTGATACTTGCCTTTGTGTAACCATCGGTTTTTTACCACATGAGCCGATAGCAATACAAAGCACCAGATGTTCCTTTTGCTCATAATATGGTGTTGCCAAACCCTCCTGACACATCTTTTAAGAGTCAGCAAGCTAATACATTTGCATATACTTCACAAATCGACAATTCAGCCCCATGAGATGATTCTATAAGCCAATTTAAGGAGGAGAATATTACCAGAAAGTATTGACGTGCATATAAAGTCAGTATTATCCTAAACTCTAAAAGTAAAACGGTCAGTCACACTTGTTTTGCCATTATTCAAACAAAACGATCATTTAAATAGGCAAAACAACTGTTTAAATGGGATAAATGGACGATTAAAAGAATACAACATACCATTATGTAGCATTTAAATGGTGGGTAAATGGGTAAAAAATTGTTTAGGCGAATAAAGTCAACCATGAGTATTAACAGTAAGCCATATCTTCATATTTTGATTACATAAAAGCTCATGGTAGTTGGAAGGTGCCTAATTTTTTATAAATTCAGTGGTGAAAATAATAAAACCACAAGGGAGCACATTAGTATATTTATTGCTCAATTGGGTGAAGCTAGTATCATAGAACATATGAGAATTTATAACTTTTCATTATCTCTTAATGGCACTACTTTTTGTGGTTTTCTTCTTTTGTAACCTTGCTCTATTAGTTTTTGGGCACAACTAGAAGAAAAAGTTTCATGAACATTTTTACAATAAAACTAGTGAGCTTAAATTTTCTAATTTAGCATCGATTGAGCAAAGGCGTGATAAAGTCCGTTTTTATTAAAAGATTCAAATATTAAAAATTGATGTTTCAGTTTGACAATTTAGACAAGGTGTGGTTCTAATGTTAGCTTTTAGAAAAAAAATCAACAAATATGTAATTAAATTTTTTAGCGACTTGAAAAATCATTAATTTACTGATTGTTTTTCTAAAATTATTGGAGATGTTCTTATATATTTCACAGAGGAGAAAAATAAGTGCTCCTCTTGTGTTTTGATTTGCACTTTGTACTATCTTCGTCCCTTAAATCGGACTAAGTTTTTAGAAAATATTATTAATACTTATGACTCTAATTATGCATACTATTAATTCTAATATCCAATTAGTAAATCTACTATACTAGTCCTAGTTTATATAGCTTTATAAAACACAAAAATTAAAATAAAACTCAGATCAGATTATTATTAATAAACTGATTAAGTAAAATAAATCAAGAAAAGGACAAATCCTCACGGGTGTGAGAGCGGAGAGGGTCACCACCTTGTGCTAAGCCTCCTGAATTCGTGCAACGCTGTCCCCTTCCGCGTCGTCTCGTCTTCCCTACCATCCACCCTTCCCCGTCCCCTAGCTCGATTCAGCTCGCAGCTCAAAGCAGCAGCTCAAGCAGAAGGAAGAAAAGAGCAGCGACCGAGAAGAGCAGCGCCCCGCCGCCGCCGCCGCTCGAGCTCATCCCGTCGCCGGACTTACCGATGGCCATGAGGCACAGGGCGCGGTCCTCCCCCACCTCCCCGCTGACCCCGTCCTCCAGCACCAGGTGACCGACCGCCGACCGCCTCATTGCCTTGCCCCCTCTCTCCCTGCTTGCTGGTACTGGCTTCCGAGATTTGAGGCCTCGCGGGTCCCCTTGAGTTTTGTCTGTTGCCAGTTCTCGTTCGTGCGAATTTGTTGGTACCGGTGTTCGCTGCTCTCTGCAGCTAGCTGCCGGGGTGGCGGAATCTCGCGCCGGATTCCTGATTGATTCATTCGGCGCAAAGGGAGGAATCTTCTGGCTTGTTTTGATTTTGTTCTTGATGCTGTTGCTTGGATATGCTGTCAGTTTAAAGGAGCTGAGCTTCCCGGTGTTTAGACTCTTCTTCTTTTTCTTTTTCTTTTAAAAAAAAGAGAGCAAAAGCTCGTGGAAATACTTCTCGGTGATGGTTTTGGGCCTGCATTTGCAAGCAGCTCAGGCCCTTTGGTCGTTCATTCAACAGCATAAGATTAGTGAGCGCAGAAAAATGCTTGCGTAACTGGAAAAAAAAAGGGTTGGGTGCCCCTGCTGTATTCGTCCAGATTCTTGAACTGGTGTTCGATGCGAATTAGAAACTGAGAAGCTGTACGAGATAAGGACGACAGGGATGCGTGTGAAGCGTGAACAAGTCAGGCATCGTCTGGATTTCCGTTCTGCTTTTCGTTTTAGATAAGCGTCACCGAGATCCCGACGCCCTCTGCGTCCATTGACCGGCGTGGCCCCCATGGAAGATGGTGATCTCAGCACCAAGTGCTTGGTGCTCGTGCAATCGGCGTTGACGTTCCCGCCGCCCCATTTTCTCGGTGGGCACTGGGCAGGACAAGAAAAGCCCGGTAGCAGAAGCTGCTGGCACGATTCTGAATTCTGATAGGGGGGAAAAGGTTTTAAGGATGTGAGCTGCACTCAGACAGTCTTTGAGACTATGCTGTACCTTTTAGCATTTTTTGTCTAGCACGTTATTGTTGTTGTTGTTTTTGTTGAGTGGACACCCACTTTCTTCTCACGGCTCAAGCTTCTTCGATCTTCATTCCTCGAAAAAGTCGTGATCTTTGTCCTATCTTTTTTTTATTCTTCCATGGGTTGAGCCAATCGCCAATTTGAGGACAATATCTATGTTTTGCCCTACGGATAACCATGTCAATTCAAGATTGAACTTTCCTTTTTGTGACACTAAATAGTAATGATCATCATCACCGTCGTTCCAGGTCGCGCAGTTGGCATCAAAAGGATACCCTTTTAGCTACTTTTTTAGCACACCCAATCGCTCATATCATCCGCTGAATCAGATAGTGAGTGGCGTGAAGATTTTAATTTGAAGGGAACTGAGCCACCTGAGATTGTTCAGCCTAATATACACATTAGTACCATCTATGTTTGCTCTGTCATGAATTTGTGGTTAGATTTGGTGACGGGCCTGATTTGCATCGTGTAAGGTACATGTCTTAACACTAAGACAGTACCACTATAAATGTGTTAATAACTGATAACCAACCTTGTCCCAAAGAAAAGTACGACCAAGCCATCTGTTTATTGTAACTAATAATTAGTTGTTAATGTGTACAATCCTAACCACTCATCTAACATGACTTGATATGCACCAAAAAACTTTCTGTTGGGCCCAATAAATTTAATGAACTTGGGATTTATTCACGACAGAGTTTTTTAGGGTGACTGTGACAATCAGAATCACAAGGGAGTTTTTTCTACAAGTAATTAACTGTTCGAAGTTTGAACCATATCTTGTTAATTACAACTTACAAGATGCAGTAATAATAATTAATTCCCCTTGTATTGGAGCTCTCCAGTTTGTGTTATGTTATCAGTTCATATCAAGGAACAGAAATTTCTAGCTACCTTCAGTTCACACTTCAGATGGCATGGTGCTCTGTTCTAATTATATGAGTGTTCAATTGGAAATAAGATGGTTTATGTTGAGGGCTGCTGAGAAATTTGAGATACATTGTCATCTCCGGACAAAATTTTATGTTTGCACAAACTCTGGTCCCACACATTGAGTAGTCAGCAATGATTGGCATAAGTTAGTGATGCTTAGTATGTACCTTCATCTTCTATTTTGCATCCTTGCAAGAATATTGCATCAAATTCTGAGCTGGTACTAGATAATTTACTGTTCCATTATCTAGCATAACCCTGGTATTTTTCTTTTCTTTTTCTTGCAGATCAAAGAAGATACTTGGTTTCTCTGTATCTCTCATCCTCATCAATCTGGCTTCAATTATGGAGCGTGCTGATGAGAATCTCCTTCCAGCAGTTTACAAGGAAGTCAGTGCAGCCTTCAATGCTGGTCCTACTGATCTGGGATACCTCACCTTTGCAATGAACTTTCTGAAGTCAATAGCATCTCCCTTGGCAGGTATCCTTGTTTCTGCACTATGATCGCCAACAGTGCTTGCAATAGGGACTGTTTTCTGGGCCTTATCAACAGGAGCTGTCGGTGCTAGCCAGCATTTTAGGCAGGTTGCATTCTGGAGAGCTGTAAATGGCCTTGGGCTTGCCATTGTAATACCAGCGCTTCAGTCGTTCATTGCTGATAGCTATAAAGATGGTACACGTGGTGCAGGATTCGGTTTGTTAAGCCTCATTGGTGCTGTAGGTGGTATAGGTGGTAGTATTTTGGCAACAATCATGGCTGGAAAGGACTATTGGGGATTCCCAGGATGGCGTGTTGCATTTATGATGGTCGCACTTGTCAGCTTGATAATTGGAATTCTTGTGTACTTATATGCAACTGATCCAAGAAGAATACCTGGCAATCGCCTTCTTGACGAAGACGACTATGAGAGGTGTGCCATTCTTTTCATCTCACCTAGCTGCAGGGGTTCATTAATGAATACTACTAGCGAAATAGAACTCACATAGCCATCTTGCGGGAAAAAAAGGAACTCACATAACTTGTAATTTTGTGCCATACCAGATCATGTTTTGATGCATATAAAAAAGATTCTGATTCTGCCAGATAGAATCTCATCATGATGCTTCATTTTTTTTCTTGAACGTACAAGAGTGTGCTATTCCATTAAACATTCTTCATTTTGTTGTAGGAATTAAACCAGGGTTGCATGTTTTCAGTATGTTTCATTACTTTGTCCTTTTCAGTCTGAACTATTTTTGCATTTCTTGTGTGGCAAAACCACATTTAGGAACTCTTATGTTATTCGAAAGGCGCTTCTAGTAGGTTTCTGCATTGTAGCCGAATCAACATGGGATCTGGACTGGTGCTATAATTGAATTTGAACTTTATCCTTGTCTCCCAGGTTGCATTTATCAAGCAAAGATGTTCTTCCTCCGCCTTCTATCTGGAGGATTCTTGGGTGGCAACAAGATCTGTTATGAAAGTGAAGACATTTCAGATCATTGTCCTGCAAGGGATCATTGGCTCATTGCCGTGGACTGCTATAGTTTTCTTCACAATGTGGTTTGAACTCATTGGTAGGATAGCAACCATATATTGATATATATACTTCTAAAAAATCTGATAACAACGCTCTTAAAATTGAAGCCTAACATCCTTGAACACTCTTAGGTTTTGACAATAAAAGCTCGGCAGCACTGAACAGCCTCTTCGCCATCGGGTGTGCCAGCGGAGCATTTCTTGGCGGGTGATAGCAGACCACCTGTCAAAGTACTTTCCAGATTCGGCACGTGTCATGTGCGCCCAGTTCAGTGCCTTCATGGGCATCCCGTTTTCTTGGATCCTCCTCACAGTCATCCCCCAGTCAGTGGACTACTGGTACGCCTTCGCCGTCACGCTTTTCTTCATGGGCATCACGATCAGCTGGTGCGCCACCTCGGCAAACAACCCTATGTTCGCTGAGGTGGTCCCTCCCAAGCACCGCACCATGATCTATGCCTTCGACCGTGCATTCGAGGGCTCATTTGCCTCGCTGGCTGCCCCCGCTGTGGGCCTAGTCACCGAGAAGATTTATGGCTATGATACCAAGACTGTGAACCTTGCGCACGGATCAGCGGAAGGGGCGTACGCGCTCTCAAGAGGGCTGCTGACCATGATGATCGTGCCTTTCGGCGTCTGTGTCCTGTTCTACAGCCCCTTGTACCTTGTGTTCAAGCACGACAGAGAGAACGCGAAATTAACCAGCTTCAAGGAGCAGGAGCTAGTGTGATGATATGAAAAGCTCTGCCTTGATCACCATTCAGAACCTCTCGGCATCCTGAGCGGGAGCTTGTGTGATGATATGAAGATACTGCCTTGATCAGCATTCAGAACATCTGGTCATACCGCCCTGGGTCATTCTGAGTTTCTGATTGAAATTCTGGCAATTGTGCCACGGAGAAGTGTGGAGCAACGTTTGTTCTAGCTGATTTGAAGATTATAAGAGGACCTTCCGTTTTGTGCCGATTACCCTTACCCATCCAGCAAGCCATTTTTCTATGGCTTCCTGCACTATATCTGTCTGACCAGAGAACACAAAGAGAAGCAAATGATATGACCTGAACCATGCTGAATTGTTGATGTTACATGTAGTTGGTTTGGTAGTTGAACAGATCACTAATAATGTTTCACTGATGAGTTATCTTTCTGGATTCTTATTGCGGGAAAATCTTTCTGTGTATTTTTTTAAAAAAATCTCTGGAGATTTTGCTTCTGTTGGTTATGAAAGCAGTGAGTGCGCAGCTAGCAGTTTGGTTTCATCAGTTATCAGTTTTGGGGAAACATACCCACTATTATTAATATATATATATAATAAAAGTTAAAACTATATGGAAGCAAATTCTGCAAAGAAATAAAGGAGGAAAATGCTAACTGTCTCACGTGGGACCGCCTGTCAGAGACAGACCCCTTTGCACGCTTCGGACCCGCAGCAAACAAAGCTCGAACTCGATCCGGGGCTCCGGGCCATTCGATCTCCAATCGGACGGCCCAGACGGCTCCCTTCCTCTCCACCTTGCCACGCCTATAGCTCCTCTCTCCGAGTCGTCATCTCGGTCGCTGCTGGCTGCTGCGCCACTACAAACCCAAAACCCCCCACCCCACGAGATCTGCGCAGCAGCAATGGCGACGCGGCGCCACGCCCTCCTCCTCCTCGCCGCCGCCTTCGCGTCTCTCCTCGCGCTCGCGGCAGCTGAGGGCGCCGAAGAGGGGCCCCGCGGGCGGCGGCTGCTCGTCCTCCTGGACGACCTGGCCGTGCGGTCGTCGCACTCGGCCTTCTTCGGCTCGCTCCAGGCGCGCGGGTTCGATCTCGACTTCCGCCTCGCCGACGACCCCAAGCTCTCGCTCCACCGCTACGGCCAGTACCTCTACGACGGCCTCGTGCTCTTCGCACCCTCCACCCCACGTAATTGCTCCTTTTCCTGCCTCGCCTCTTTGGAGATCCGATCTGTGTTGCTGGATTGTTCTGGTGATAGATTCGACGGGGATAGAGATGATTTGCGTGCGGAGTCTGACTGCTTATCTGATCTGGTCCGTGCTCCACTGCTCGTGGAGTGGTGGAGTTCTGTGATCTGTTGTGGCCAATGGCCAATTCGGTATTTCGGAGTAGAATTTCCCGTGACCGGAGGATTTATGCAATAATAAGGTTCACCTGAAAATTGACCGTAGTCAGTTAGTTCTAGTTGAAAGCAGTGGATCTCAGGGGGTATCAATTGTTGTCTGTCGCGATTGACTAGTTTATTATTGATTATTTGTTTGATTATAAACTACTGGATGGGCCTTGATCTCTGCCCCTGATGATGTAGTACTTGATTCAACCCTGTTTGTTTCTAATGCCAGTCTTTATTTCATGGCAGGTTATGGTGGATCAGTGGACCAGAACGCAGTCCTCGAATTTATCGATGCCGGGCATGACATGATCCTGGCAGCAGATTCCTCTGCCTCTGATCTTATTCGTAGCATTGCAACAGAGTGTGGGGTTGATTTTGATGAGGCAAGCAATTCCTGTGGCCTGGCACCTTTTCTATCTTAACATTTTCGTTGACCTCAGTGAGCCAACAGTTTGTGTCTTGATGATTTCAGGATCCAGAGGCAATGGTTATTGACCACATTAACTATGCTGTCACGGATGTTGAGGGTGATCACACCTTGATTGCTGGTGATGATCTTATCCAGTCAGATGTGATACTGGGGTCTAAAAAGATTGAGGTTAGCAGTGATGCTAAGAATCTTCATAACCCTTCCAACATTTTACACATTTTCATGTTCACTGGATTAAACCAAGTTGAGACTGAATCTTTGTCTGCACTTGTATTCTGAATTTATTAATAGACAGTTCTGTTTTGTGCGTGGGGCTTCATGGTATCCATAATTTCGTATACTAAGCATTCATAGGGGGTGTTTGGTTATTTAGTTGCTCCTAAAATTTATGTCACATCAAATGTTTAGAGGCTAATAAGGAGCATTAAATATAAATTAATTACAAAACCAATTACATAGATGGAGGCTAATTTCTGAGACAAATTTTTTAAGCCTAATTAATCTATCATTAGCACATGTTTACTGTAGCACCACGTTGTCAAATCATGGGCTAATTAGGCTTAGAAGATTCGTCTCGCAAATTAGTCGCAAGTTGTGCAATTAGTTTCGTAATTAGTTTATATTTAATACTCCATGCATGTGTCCAAACATTCGATATGACAGGAATTTTAGGAGGAGGGAAAGGAACCAAACAGGCCCATAGTTAGCAGGCCTTCTGTTCATCTTTGCTATCGCAACACTACAACAGTGATAATATTGACCTAATCTTGTTGGCAATACTGCCTGGATTTTCAGTAAAAGTGTGCCCATACATTATGTCTTCAATTTGCTATTCCATACTTCGGTGCCATGTCTATGTTCAGTCTTGGTTACTGTACTGAGTTTTCCCATGTTTAACCAATTGGTAGTATTAGCTAAGATACTTATATCCTAAAATATGTCTGTTCCTGTTAAGAATTAGCTACTTATATACCTGCAGTTCATTACTGACTAGAGTAGGTTTAGCTATAACATGATTTCTTAACATTGGTTGTTCATGATGATATGGTGTAAACTTGCCAAGTGCTTTTACTTAGCACTTCCTTTTGCATTTTTGGCAGTGCTTAAATGTAATTTTGCCTTCTTTTAAATATTTTTCTCCATATTTCTAGGCTCCAGTATTGTTTCGAGGAATTGGACACGCTGCTAATCCATCAAACAGTTTGGTACGTACTCTGAATTCTACACAGTGATATTTGCATGTCCAACTATTAGTTGCATTACTCTGTTTTATTGCTGTAAGACATGTACCTTTTATGGTTTTTTCTATAATCCCCCATTCTCCCCTGTCTTTGGGCATTCCTAGGTTCTGAAAGTCCTATCTGCTTCTCCATCAGCATATTCAGCTAACCCAAAGACTAAGTTGTCATCTCCTCCATCGCTCACTGGATCAGCTATATCATTGGTTTCGGTTATGCAGGTAATTGAATTTGTTTTTACTTGCTTATTATTAGTAGTGGCCTGTATTCATTAAATGTATGATAGGCCTGCCAGAATCCATGTATTACCAGTTGTATGTTGCCATTCAATGTCTCTGATAAGTTTTAAGTCTTCTTTCAGGCAAGAAATAATGCTCGGGTGCTGATATCTGGATCGCTCGATCTGTTTAGCAACCGGTATGCTATCATATATATATACTGAAGTAGTTTCCCCTGGTTTTCCATGAAGTGCTTATGTTGTTCCATTTATTCAGGTTCCTGAAGTCTGGTGTTCAAAAGGCTGGTAGCAAAACAAGGTTAGCTTTGAATCTTTTATTGAGATTATTATATTAAATGGTTAATAGACTATAGATTTCAGCTAGAAAACATCAAGATCTTTTGGCTGCTATTTCTGTTAGCTAATGCCTTGATTCTTTCATAGGAAAGCGTCATCTGATTATTATAAAAAAATTGCCTAAGTTCTATAAGACCTACCCTAATGCCAAATTTGAAGTTTTTATCTTGTAATTAACTCTTCATAAGGCAACATAGCACTACTTGATAAAGGGGTAAACCATGACATGAGATATTGGATGATGGCATGTTAAAAAGGATTGTTGAGCATGTTATAATGCTGTGTGCTGTAGCATAGACTGCAAATAAGTTTCATATTGCTGATTGTTGGATATTTGCAAAATATAGTACCACATATCCTGGAATAGAACATAACCTCTCATACTTTTTTTTGGTATTCTGGAAATCATTTATTATATGCTATTGTACAGATATGAGAGAGCTGGAAATGAGCAATTTGTGACAGAGACAAGCAAATGGGTTTTCCATGAGAGGGGACATCTAAAGGTTATATTGCCTTATTTTTCCATTGTAATTTTGTTTAGGGGATTGATGTTTTTCAAATAAATGGGATGGTGTAACCTTTGTAATGTTCAAATCCACAGGCTGTTAATGTTAAGCATCACAAGGTTGGGGAGACCAATGAACCAGGCATGTACCGCATTAATGATGACCTGGTAATTCTTTTGCCTTGATGTGTACTTGCTGTTGAGCTGTGACAAATGTTGCTAATATAAATTTCCCCAGGAATACTCTGTTGAGATCTATGAATGGTCTGGAACAAGCTGGAAGCCATATGTTGCTGATGATGTGCAACTTCAATTTTTTATGATGAGTCCTTATGTTCTGAAGACTATGTCAACTGACAACAAGGTGTGCACTATTACAAATCTGTTTTGTATTAAAATATATTGTGAGCTTGACAGATTGCTGTGGCTAAACTATCATGTTCTCCCAATGTAGGGTTTATATTCAACATCCTTCAAAGTTCCCGATGTTTATGGAGTTTTCCAGTTCAAAGTTGAGTATCAAAGACTGGGATATACTGGTCTGTCTTTTACAAAGCAGGTTAGTCTCATGACATGATTTCCTTTGTAGTTTGTACAGTAGCACGATTACTTTACTCAAACTGCATCCACTTGTATAGTTGTTTTTTGTGACTTTTCACATTCGATTATCTGTTTTTGTCTGCTGCAGATTCCAGTACGCCCTTACAGGCATAATGAGTACGAGAGATTCATAACATCAGCTTACCCATACTACACTGCCTCATTTTCAACAGTAAGATCTGCTTCCAGATGCTATTCAGTAGTCGCATATGAGTTTTATCATTAAAGTCACTTGCGTAGATTATCATAGGTTGCATCCTTTATAACTTACCTAGCCTTGTTTTTCTTATGGCCTAGTTTCAATAGAGGATAATCCCCTCCAGTCCATATGCATTGGTAGCTATTGACAGGGAAATAAGATCATTTTCCACTTCAATTCACATGTATTGAGAGGGCATGTAAGTTCTGGATTAGCTCTTTGTATCACCTCTTCATTTCTTCCTCGTTGCAGATGGGTGCTTTCTTCATATTCTCGCTTGTGTACCTGTACCACAAATAAAGGACTGATGGGGGCGCACAAGTTTCTGGAGGCTGATGCAACGTAGATCTGTGTCACTGAATGTGTGCTATAAGCCAAAGTGTTACCCGGTGCAATTTTATGGAACCATATTTTTGTAGTGCCAACTTAGATAACATTTGACGACCGTGATCGCACTCATGAGAAATTTGCCCGTGCTAGGATGTTGGATCCACCCCTCTTTTTCTTGGATCCTTTCTGATCATCACTTGTGAAAACGTTTACAGTCTATAGCAGTGAAATGATGACGAAGCATGTAGTGATTTTGAAAGTACTTCACCCTCAATCATTTGGCGCTCTTGTGCAGTTCTGATTTCTGGTCCTGGATGTGGACTTCTTGTGCTTAAAATATTTCTGCACTTGTTCGCACTTATACGCTGGATGCACTTAATTTTCTACACGGGCTTGTCGAATATGAATAAGACTGCAGTAAACATGCCGATTCATGTTCAATGCTATCTGTATCTAGGTATATTTTCCGGTAGGGGATGCATCTCTTCCTATCTAGTGTCATGCTGTCGAGCCCTGGTTTCATGGCAGTTCCTAATGATAAACTCCCACTGTAAATCGTCAATTGGAGAGGCATTTTTGAATAAAAGTTCTCTATCTTTTTATCCTTTAATAGCTTTTCTATATTTTGTGCATACTTTACAGAGTTAATTTTGATCTCTATAGCAAGAAATCCGGTATAGAAGATTGCAATATTTTGATATCTGGTTAAAGAAGCTGATGAAGGATATTTTGTTCACTAAAATCTTTATTTATATCAATAGGAAAGGATATAAAGCTCTTAAAGACTGGAGTTCGGTCTCAGCATCTGCTAGTTACCATTTTGCTGCCAATTCTCTGATATGTAACCTGCCCCTGTGGCCCTGTTTGACCAGAGATGTGCCCAGTTTTTATATTATGGTCATCAAACCCGAAAGCTGTGGCTTTTTTTTAATTCAAATATATAGTGTTTTGTAGTAATCTAAGTACAGCCACCGCCACAGCCGCGGCGGCTTTAATCCGAAGCGAACACTAACCTTTCAATAAGCAGAGACTATGGTAGAGCAAACTATGCCCAAAATGCTGTGATTTCGAATCATCCATTCAAAATGAACCAAGTGGTAATGTGGCATGTATTGAAGGAGCGCCATCCTTTATTATCCAGTACAGTAGTACGTATTGTACAACATTTAGAGCACACACGGTACACAGATACGGACATAGCAAAGCCTACTCTCTCCATACCAATTCTACAACGAGACAAGACACCACAATCGCGCGCGTTCTCCCCATCTCCCGTGCACATCGCAAATGGCAAATGGTCGTACGGCTTAGAATGGCTCAGCCGCGAAGACAAGCGTCAGCGCCGGCGCACGCGCGTCACCGCCTAGACCACAATCTCCAGCGTCCACCGGTACATCTCCTGCTCCGGCACGGGCAGGTCGACGGATACGAGGCCGGAGTCGGCATCGTAGCTGAACTCCACTTCCGCCGAGTCCAGCAGGCACCTCGCCGGCTCCCGCGAGCAGTAGGCGCCGAACCGGCCGCACCCGCGCACCCTGAGCACCACCACGGCCTTCCCTTCGCCGCTGCCGCCGTCCACGGCGCGGCACTCCTCGACGGCGCCCCCGGCGTTGAACATGTCGAGCAGCCCGACGGGCGCGAACGCCACCCCCGGCGCTGCGGCGCGGAGCGGGCAGACGTGGAACACCTCGTACTGGAGCGGGCCCAGCGTCACGGGCAGCGCGGCGCCCCGGGCCAGCCGCACCAGCTCCCGCGCGCGGTGCGCGTACACCACGGCCTCGCCGTCCCACTCACCGTTGCCGCCGTCGTCGCTGTCGCCGGCGACGCGCGCTATGGCGTCGACGTCGTCGGCGCGCACGGTACCGGTCAGGGTGCCCGGCGCCGCGTCGTGCACGCGCGTCCGCTTGGTCACGCGGCACCACCCGGCGCCCTGGCAGTTGAACACGCCCACCACGCCGCCGCACTTGTTCAGGTTCCAGATCTTGAGCAGGCTGCAGAGGAGCAGAGAGATGGAAGAAAAAAGGAATCAGCACCGCCACCGGCTCCTGATCTGGAATTGGAATTGTAATTTCAATCGGAGGACTGGTCACCTTGGGCCGTCGCGCGCCGGGTCGGAGAAGAGGCAGTCGCGTGTGGGCCGGCCGGGGAGCTGCGCGCGGAGCACGGAGCCGTCGGGGAGGACCAGCTTCCTGAGCAGCTCGAAGTTGTGGTTCCCCGGCTTGTCGCTGACATATATCGGGCAGCCGCCGATGGCCCTCGCCGCGCCGTGGTACTCCGCCACCGGGTGCAAGCTCTGTCGAACGAATCGAATCGATCAATGGATGCCCTGACACGACGGCCAAACGAAGAAGAAACAGGAGACGCAAAGGCAGTCTACGACTCACATGGAACATGTCCCAGTCGGGCTGCATGAACTCGCCGAGGAAGACGGTGTTGTAGGCCACGGAGGCGACGTGGACGGTGTGCGAGGCCGGGTCGTGCGGGTAGAAGTCGTCGGAGGCGCGCACCACGGCGGTCTGCCTGGCGCTGTAGAGCATGTCGGTGTTGTGGCACATGCAGGAGATGCAGCCGTTGTCGGGGAAGCTGCGCGCCACGGAGGCCTCGAGCGCGCGGTGGTATGCCCGCGTGAGCTCGACGCGGCTGCCGTGGCCGGCGCCCAGAGTCTCGATGATGTTCTGCACGTCCACCTTGACGCCGTCCACGCCGCAGGAGGCGAGGTACGCGTGGAGCTCGCCGTAGAAGTCCTGCGCCCGGCGCGGGTGCACCAGGCCCAGCCTGAGGACGGACAGCGAGTCCATGACGATGTCCGGCTGGTTCCCCGTCACGCCAGGGGACTGCACGGGGTACGCCAGCGCCGGCTCGTACCGCTCCATCGCAGTCCCCGACGACGGCGTCACGCCGCCCCAGTACCCGGCCATCGCGTGCCACACGTACACCTGCTTCACGCCGTGCACGTCCTTGGTCTCGGCCACCAGCCGCTTCAGCCCGCCGTCGCCGTCGGTGTCGAGCTTGGTCTGGAACTTGGTGTTCTCCTTGATCCCCGTCAGCCGACTGGCGAATCTGGAAGCAAGCAAATCAGTTTTGGTGAGCGAGCGTCGGAAACTGCGGCGGCCGGCGCGGCGGCCATGATTGATCAGAGAACTTCAATGCACGTACTGCGCGCCCTCCTGGACGGCGACGTTGGGGTCGGGCTTGTTGTCGGAGGCGATCTGCTGCCATCCGTCGTCGATGATGAGGAACCGCGGCGGCGCGCCGCCCTTGGACAGGCTGCAAGAGCAGAGGAGGGTTGCTGCTCCGTTAGTACGGAACGTGGGCACGGAGCCACTGATACACAAGAACAGAGCAGGCAGAGCAGCAGCCACAGCGTACCTCTGGAGGCCGTGCTTGACGCCGTCGGCGGTGACGTCGGTGTAGAAGGCGTCCCAGGTGCACCAGCCGAACCAGTCGAGGAACGACGGCAGCAGCTTCTTCCTGTCGCGGGTGTGGAACGTCTGCAGGTGCTTCTCCACCGCCTTGACGGCGGCGGTGACGGTGTCGAAGGGGTTGTCGCCGGCGTGGAGGTACACCATGTGCGCGCCCTGCTCCGTCTGCACCGCCTTGTCACCGCTCTCGACGCAGATCTGCAGCTCGTCGCGGTCGTTCCCCTGCAGCGCCGCCCGGAACTGCCCCTCCAGCAGCGGAAGCATCACCACATACGTGGGTTTGGCGTCGTCGCCGTCGCCGTCGGTGGCAGGAGGGACCTCGATGAGCATGAACTGCGTCTCCAGAGGGACGTCGCGGCCGGAGACGCCCATCCACTGCGTCATCCACCATAGCTTGAACCGGAACAGGCACAGGAACCGGCAGTCCCTGCACGCACGGCACGGCACCACGAAAAAAAATAATCAGAAATTTACCCCGTGTTTCGATCTCATCACCACCAATTCGAAACGCAAAATGTTACTACATCAAAATCTGCCTGATGAGTGATGAACAAACAAAAATCCCGATTGGCTGTGCACTAGCTAGCAGCACATTCCAGACGTTTCTTTGCGTAAAAGGAAAGATTGATTACTCACCGGAGCGTGCCGAAGGTGAAGACGTGGTGGCTCTTGGCCTCGGCGGCGTGGGCGCCGACGAAGGCCCCGTCGACGTGCCCCGCCCCGGCCGCGTGCGCCGCGACCACGTTGTCCGGCACGCCGGTGAGCACCGTGCGGCCGCGCACCGCCAGCCGCCCGTCGCTCACCGTGATCCGTGGCGTCACCGTCATATTGATACCACACGGATTGATTAACCTAAGATAACTGCAGATCGAACGAACACCCCTCTGCAATGCGCGCAAGAACAAGAAGCGCGGAATCAAATTACCGACCAAGATGACGGTAATTAACAACACATCGCTATATATGCAGCTGGAGGTAATGACAATTAATGAAGAAAAGATGCAAGAAAGGAGACGCACCTTGCATGATACTCGTATGTATAGATGATGAAGTGAAGGCAGGCAAAGGTAGGGTGCTTCGCCGCGTGAGGGTAATTCAGTCAGTAGTAATGGTAATATGGTGCCCCCTCGATTCGGAGGCCGGAGGGAGATACTAATACACAAACTGGCGGGAGAAGGGAGGCAGGGGGGCGAGGGGTTTATATACTCGCGGGGGAGGGGGAGGGGGAAGGGCGGGACACGTGTCACGTGAATTTACGGCTGGTGACGCCATCACGGTGAAACACGTTTGTACTACAGCTCGCCAGATTCATTAAAAAAAAGCTTTCGTAAGATTATGGAACACGGTAGCTGGCTACGTGCTGGAAAAACGCGGTATGCAAAATTAATTGGTTCCCTACGAAGGAGAGTAAACTATCGAACCATCAAGGTAACGTAACGGGGATCTATACTCCAGTGGCGGTTGTTTACCTCGTCTCGCATCCTTATTCTTTTTTTTTTTGCGAGAAATAAAAATCTAACGCGTAAGTTGTAAACATGTTCAGAGACAGCCAGGATATAGAGATGGCCGTTGACTACATTATATGCATGTTCCTGGATTGACCGATTGAGTATGAAACTAATCATTATTGCACCTTGCAAATCAAATACGACACCTCACAAAAACAGAGTTAGTCTCTGTCGTCTCAGCTCAGCATAAATATCGGCTGCGTTCGCTGGTCTGGTAAACCAGACCAGCCGGCTGCTCCTCATCACATCAACCAGTCAGTTTCAATCGTTATAGTGTTTCTCTCACAACAACCAGCCAATTTCAGCCAAGTTTTAGACCAGCGAACGGGGCCATCATGAGTACGTGCTGTCCGATAATTACACACTCTGCACACTCAATCATTTCGTCCTCTCCACCAGCTGTACACACACAATAATACTATACTATGTATATGTATCTCTATACAGCGGCGGAGCTAGCGCTGAAAGCAAGCAGGCGCCAAACGGACCTCAAGAACGTAATGTTGTGGGCAAGAATGGCATCATGAGCTGCCAGATAGCTAGCAAGCATGTATGCAGCAGACATCTAGTCAGTTAAGGTCTAACGATAAGCAGTAATACACAAAACAACCATGCATGCAGCCATGCGAGTGTGGAAATATGTATGCACTTGCACATGACCCTTGGATTTTGATCCATGGCGAGGGGGGGCCAGGGCCCTCTTTGGCTCTAACGTAGCTCCACCGTTCTCTCTATATGCCTTGCTTGGATGAAACTTTTGATAAAGGGGATCGAAATTGAAGCCAAAGACCGCCAGTGTCTGAAATTCAGTGAATCGGTTAATTATACTGGGCATGTTTTAGCACGTCTCCAAAACTCCAAAGTACGTACATGATGGTTTAAAGTTTGTAGAATAATATGAATTGGTATAGGCATATCTCTAACTCGAAAAATAATAAGATGTGTAAACTTATTGAATTAGCTAAATATCTTCAACGTGGCCATATATAGCTCGATCTAGCCCTAAAAACTTCTAGAGCGAGATATGACTAGCTCTAAATATTCTTAGATCCAAATTAAGGTGGACCAATGATAAAGGTCTTTTTGGCATAGTTGACCTTGGTCCTAAAAAAGAATGCAACTACATGCTTTGGACGCGTCAAATTTTTAGAAGTTTCATTTTCTTAGGAAAAAAATATCAACATTTATATCTCTAACTAGAGTTACTAGGAAAATATATATCCCATAATCAATCTAATAATACATATTTAGAATTATAAAAGTCTATAATCTTGTATAGATTTAGTTAAATTTGAAATTGTTTGACTTATTATCGGAAAGGGAGAATTTTTTTTTGTGATGGAATGAGTATTATAGACTGAATTAAAGTGGTCTAAATATTTATGATTTACTCTAAAGTATAAACAAAATAGTTCATCTAATAAATCTTTCGACATACCTACCAGATCTAAAATTCTATGGAACTAAACAATACTGTCCTCGGGTCTACGAAATCTACAAAGTTTTGGATCTGAAGCTCTGTTTGACATACAGAGCCCTAAAGAAGAAGCCATTAGATCGACTTTCGTGCTGTGCATTTGTCCGCGTCTAACTAATCTAATCATATCAGCAGAAATATCCATCAGATTACCTGGGACAAGTGAGCGAGAAGCGACCGATGGACGGCTAGGACAGATGCCACGTCCCTAAACGCTTGTGCACACGTAGCCTTGCTTCCCAATTATTGGAGCGGACCTTGTCCCCAACGCCCCAAACTTAACATCATGCATGAGTGCATCATCAGTGCATGCATGATTGATGGATGCAACTTGCAAGTGACATACAGCTACTGGTTTACGTGTACGTGTTCATCGTTTTTGCGCCGGTCGCTTGCATGTTTTGCATTATTGAGATTCTGTGTATATCCATCAGAGCCTTCAGAGGTTGGAATTCTTGGCTGAAAAAGGAAAATGTTTCCAACTGCAAAATCGTCATTGGTTTATTTTTATTTTGGTTGAACCCTGTGGCCGTGTTTAGCCGTGCTTCTCCGAGCGCTCCGGGAGACGGCTTCGCGTGCAGAGTCCCGCAAAACCCGTTGACTAGAGCTGGAATTTTTGCATCCAAAGCTAACAGAGTCAAAGCTTCTTCCGGCTCCCTCTTGCTCCTGTGTGGGCCCCGCTACCCTCGTGTGCCGGAGCCGAGGAGGGACTGCACCGGTACTGAAGTCACTCCTCGTCATCCCTGTCTTCCTTATGCGCCGCCTCCGATGTTATTGCTTGCGCTCTGACGTCGCATCAGGTGAAGGGTGCTAACGGAGGCGGAGGTACAACGCTAGCGAAGGAGGAGTCTAGGCCGTGGCGCTGGCAAGAGAAAGAAAGAGAGGGAAACGGACGGGGGTAATTAATGGGTGAGAAAGAGGGGGGAGAGGAATAATAAAAAGGTGGAGAAAAAAACCCAATGATAAGTGGATTTGTATGGGTTAAAAATAAGGAGTTGTTTTGCTAAACGTTCCCCTGATAACAAATAAAGCTACTCCACCAAAGAAGCTAGACCCAAAGCTCAATCTACCAAGTATGCCTACCGACAGTATATTAACATTTAGGCCCTTATAATCATTGTTTACTCCAAACGAATCTAAAAATCTGAGATGGTTATGGCCACCTTTTGTCCATACAAACCTTTGATATTAATATTACCACTAGTATACTATTAATATATATATGTGTTGAGTGTTTTATACGGTCGGCTAAATACGAATCCACATCCACGGTGGACGACAACAATTGAGCCGTCGGCCATACAAGTCCATTTTAACGCGAGGGACACGTTCGTGGCCAACACAACCGCGCCGGCAGAAGAAACTTGACCTTGGGATGGGCAGCTAAAAAAAACAATTGTTGCACTCATCATTCACTGCTAGTCTGTTACATACTGTTGTTAAAAAAAAAAGCGTTTCCCACGCATACGTGTGCGACCGGCCGGCCGGAGCTCAGGATTTTTAAGGACCTTTCGCGGACCCGTGTGTGGACCCTGCGGCGCCGCCGGAACGGATGGGATGGTGGGCTGCTGGAAAGTTGCGTGGCTGAGTCGGATCCGCGTCGATGCCGCCAACGGATGGTCGTCGTCGGTGATATCATACGGCGGACGACAGGTCCGACCAGCCGGCGGCCGGCGGCCGCCGCTTCCTTCCCTCGCGGTCGCGCTTGGCGGCATCCGGCGCATGGGCACGGGCGTGGCTGGTGGGTGGTGGCTGGCACTGGCAGCCTCCTCGTAGTCTCTAGGGCTCTCCTCTAGGTAGGTCGGCTGAGCAATCAGGTCACGTGATTGATTCATCTCCATCTCGTCAACTTGCGACACAATCCCACAGAGATGCGGCTGCATGTAGCTGCTAGGTCCTGACCTGACCTGACCTGACCTGACCTGACGTGTACTATCCGTATGGGAGTGAAATGGGACAGACATATCGGGTCAGGATGGTAGTCGATCCTAAAATTCAGGTCACATTGAATATTTAGATTCTAATAAAGAATATTAAATATAGATTAATTACAAAACCAATTATATAGATAGAGGTTAATTTACGAGATGATTTTTTAAGCCTAATTAATCTATCATTAGCACATGTTTAATGTAGCACCACGTTGTCAAATCACGAACTAATTAGGCTTAAAAGATTTGTTTCGCAAATTAGTCACAAGTTGTGTAATTAGTTTATATTTAATACTTCATGCATGTGACAGGAATTTTAGGAGCGCATGTAGAAACTAAACAGGGCCATACTCGGTCAAAAATAACACTCTTGAATTCTAAGTACTTGGCCCTTGTTTAGTTTCCACCTAAAACTTTACACCATGTCACATCGAATATTAGGACACATGCATAGATTATTAAATATAAACTAAAAAAATAATTAATTACACAGATTGCGACTAATTTGCAAGACGAATCTTTTAAACCTAATTAGTCCATGATTTGATAATAAAGTGCTACAGTAACACATTTGCTAATAACGGATTAATTAGGCTTAATAAATTTGTCTCGCGGTTTACTGATGGATTATGTAATTTGTTTTTTCATTAGTATCCGAACATCCTATACGACATCACCATGTGACACCCCAAAACTTTACACCCAGGAACTAAATAAGGCCTTGATCCATCCACGTCGATGCCAACGGATGGATGGATGGTGACCTACGGCTGACGACAGGTCCAACCCGTTGGTCGGTTTTTTTTAAACGAATCCGCAGGAAAGCTACCGATTATATTAAAAAGGAAAAAATCCAGATTAGGTAAGTACAACAGAGCAACAAAGACCCCGTAAAGAGTCAAGGAGCATCA